CCTTTTTTTTTTTTTTTTTTTTTTTTTTTTTTAAATCTGTTTCCCTCCCTTTTCTCCCTCCTTCTCCCCGCTGTCGGGACTGGATCCTCAGCACAACCCCGGTGCCTTCGCAGCCCCGCAGCCGCAGTGAGTACAGAAAAGGGACCCAGGTCTTTGCCGGGGGGATGTTTATGACGCATATCTGTGGCCGCTGCCCGGGCTGCCGCACTCCCGCTGCAGCTCGGGGTTCTCCTCCCCACCCCCCACCCCCCCCAGATTTCAGGGATGCAGAAGCATCTTCTCCCAGCGCAGCCCAGGCAGAAGACAAAAAGAAGCAGGTTTGTCTCCAGGTTTCCTTAAAAAAATGGAAAGCAAGGTGTATTTCCCAGCCAGAGCTTTTCATGACCTTTTCTTACATCTGAAAATTACAGACAGGCGAAAGAGGGGGGGTGGGGGTGGTGGAGAAATCCACGCTTCTTGGTTTCTGTGTCACAGAAGCGAGGAAATGATCTTCGGATGTAAAGTACATGGCACATTTCTGACAGCCAGATGAGCCAGGTCTTGCTCTGCAGACCCAAATTACAGAGCACCACTCGAAAAGGAATAACTTCTGCCATGGCACAGAGTGGTAAGATGGCTTCTTGCATTTTGAAGAAGCACTAAGTACAAATCGCCAGGGACATTTTACAGTGCTAAAGGTTACTCCTTGTCATTTTGCACTTTTCCCCAGCATGTCTGAATTACCTTTCAGCACAGTATCAGTTGTAATTGTGTGAAGTTCATTTTAAGGGGCTATGAGGAAGAGAATGCTTCTGTGTTGGATACTTCAGAATAACCTTGACCTTTCATTAGGGCTTATCCTAAAAGATAAGTCATACAGGGAGAGCAGGGAATTGGGCAAGGCACCTGCAAAAGCACAAATGAAATGTCTCTATTTTTAAACTAGTATTAAAATGGCTCCTGAATCCTACGAAAAGGAGACACTGAGGGGCTAAATGATGAAATCTAGAGCTTGCTGGCAAAATTCACTTTGACACACACAGGACCCTGAGTTAATTTCCTCAGCCAAAGATGCATTTTCTGCCGTTAGTCCAATCAGCACTGCTGAAACTCAAACTGCCAAAAAGGGTAAATTCCCTCTGAAAGAAACTGAATCAGCCAAAAGTATAATCAGCTTTTCAGGGAAGTACAAGACCACTGAACCATGTTTCCAGTTGCATTTCTTTGTTCCCCTGTAACTGCTTGCTGATATTTGTAGAAGTAATTAGGAGGGCTACTGGTATTTAAAAAAAAAAAAAAAAAAAAAAAGCTTCGGTCTGTGTAGGAAGCATGAAACATTTTGCTTCACAGTGCAGCCACTAAAAGGTTAAAGTCAGTTCACAGCTCCCGGTGAAAGTTTTCCTTCAGCAGATAGTGCCTGTCAAGATGGTCTTTCTTTCTTCTGTTACATCCCGAGAGCAGGAAACGGGGCAGCATTTATGTGGCAACACAGCCCTCTTCGCTCCTCAATATTAAGATTATTATCAACACAATGATATTTTAATTAACACTTATATACGGAGCTAATGAACGTTTAAAGGAAAAGATACTCACACAGCACAAACCACAATAAATGCGATGCCCTGTAGGAACACTGAGTATTCAAAAGCTTTTCAGGGTTTGACCTTAATGAAGCACAAGACCAATCCTGGGCACATATCGCATTTATATGCAGAGTATACTGCAGGCCAGAATAAGGGCTTCTGCTAAAGTTAATTGTAATTTTCTGCTGAGGAAGGATCGAATGTTTAGGCCTTAAGTTATTAACATCTATTCTGATGGAAATGGGGACATTTGGATACACTTTGTCAAATCAAAAAGAGTGCTTTCTGCTTCAGATATGTTACCACCGAGGTGATGTGCCCCCACTTCAATATCTGCACTTCCAAATCAGGCATGCCAGGATGGGAGCATATTGATCCGTCATGAACTTTTGCTTATGTTTAGTAACGCTGGAGAACGAGTAGAGATTCTCAGTCCACACTAGCTAGCATACCAGGAGGCCTGGAAACTGAGCTGGTAATTGTAAATACTTCCTACAGAACGGATTTTTTTTAATTTTCTGAGAGGAGAAGTACACTCTGCTAGAAAAAGCAGCTTTATATCTCCACATACCATAGTCCTCGAGGGTGTGTCTGTAGGTACACAAACAAAGCTGTATTTAATCGCTCTAAGGGAATTTTATAGAGAACATCTGTAAAAGAGAAAAGTGTATTTGTTTCACGAGCACTGTAACTTTTAATAATATCACCTTGAACCAACATAGATGCTCTAAATAGTGTGATGTCTATGGATTTTTCAGATGTAATTTGTTTGAGCTCATGTAAAATAAGGGCTGCAAGCAAAAAGCTGTGCTACACTATGATATATTCACAGTATATACAATCCAGCACTGTATGCATATATTGGAGTGAACAACAATTTCCTTCCTGTACTAGCATTTTAATTTATAGAAACATATTGTTTTGTGTAAAGAAGGTAGTAGATAATTAACTGTATTCATTTAATCTAATTATAGGCCTCTGAGGCAAAAAGCTGACACTTTTCATTGTGGTATATTCAGAGAAGTTAATTGAAAAAACGTTGCAGCCACAAGGCATAACATGCCCATCGTATATTTGATACTAATTCTTTTCTCAAAAATGGGATGAATCTGATGCTCGCTAGAGATAAGGATTGCTGCTACTCACTCGAGTAAGGCAAAGTCTGGGAAAGCTCATTATGCAATGCTGCAGTGCACTGCAATATCTCCGTAGCTAACCACAGACAATTTGCCAAATTGCGAGATGGTTTTGTAATGTACACAAGTATCTCTTACAAATTAAGAAAATATTGAATTCATTTTTAGCTGGGATGTAGGTTCGAATTTGAACAGAGATTTGCTTCAAGAAGCAATAGGTCAATGTATCAACTCTTAGCTCTGTTTAATCTGAGGAGGAATCAAGTAGTAACAGCAGCCTTACCCTCTAGCAGTTGTTATTAGGAGTGTAATTTGTGGTTTTAAGCTATCAGTATGACCAACAAATATATAGACACCAAACCAACACTTGCAGCTCCCAAGTATATAAAAATAAATGTATGTCTGACCATCTGCAGTTCTGGAGTAATTTTTCCTCACCTGATACATACCAACAACTTAAATCTTCTGACAGCATGCTACTTTCATTCTCAAAAGGAAATTAAAGCAGCTCAGCTCTGCAAGGCTTGCCTTCCAGCTGACAGAGAATATAACAGACCAAACGTGCTGGTTGTGGGGAAGCATTTGCCATTTATGTTAAAGAATATCCAGCTTGCAAGCTGAATTGTCGTGTTAAAGACAAATATTGTTTCCCCCTACTTTGTTGCTGCAGGAGTGGAACCCTGGTGTCTCTGCAGCATGGGGCAGGACACTTCCCACTCCACCTCCAGCTGCTGCACTCCCTGGCTCCTGCTCCAGTGACCTCCATTTCTGCTCTGCCCGTGGGCACGCAGAGGCCACCCAGCGCACCCAGCCCTCTCCACCTCTCTCTTCCCACGTCTCCCAGGTGGTGTTATTCCTAGCTGGCGGGAGAAAAAATTGCGAAGGCAGTGCTGCTCACCCCTGTGATGAAGCGTGCCTAATTAGTGCGGTGGTGGCGCAAGCCCTCTTAGATGACAAACACCCACAGCGAGAGCCCATCGAGCTAAGCGCAGGGCCTTGCTTTGCTCTGCCAGTGAGAGGCATTGCTGGCAGCCCTACCTATAATTTTTAAATTACTTTAAATATTTTCAAATATATTTTGCAGATATATTTTTTTTACTGTGGTTAAAAAAGCAGCATATTGCACTTCAGGCGCTTCAAATTTTAGTTAATAAAGTCAGAGGAAGTCTGAAAAGTAAATAGATAGTGACATGAGGTCACCTTAACTCTGGAGCTCTGGCTCAAGAGATCCAGAAGAGTTGATAAAGAAGCTCTCTAACAAGAAAAAAAGTGTGGCTATAGATGCTAGTCATACTCCATTCCTATTCCTATACCATTACAGATAAGTCACAATTTGCACTGATGTCTGACTCAAAAAATCAACCTATTCTTAGAGTTCAGTCTGCACTCACACTCTTTCTGTCCCTTGATGCTCTTAATTAATCTTCCTTCTGCCTGGCTCCTGCCTTCTCTTTCTCCTCTGTGCTGTTTTCTCCCAGCTCTTGCTTTTCCACATTTTGTTTATTCATCCCTCCATTCCCTGGCACTTGCCTTCTTGCACTCTTCATGCTTTATTTTAATTTCCTAGTTTCCTTACCTTCATCTGCATATCCACCTTCTTATTTTTTCTTAATTATTTCCCCTGGCATCTTATCTCCATTATGCTTATTAACCTCCTTCCCTAATATATCATGTCCTTTCCCCATTGCCTAGCAGAATCTCATTAGGTATATATGTATAATCTTTTTTTTTCCCCTAGCCACGAAGAACTGCTTCCACAACTGTTTTCTGTCCATGATGTCCTAGCTGTCATAGAAGAAGTCCTAGCACTGGTCAGTAATAGTTGTCTCCTTGGCATCTACCACCTTCATCTCCTCCTTCTGCCTCTTGCTTTCTGCCCTCCCACGCTCTGCAAGGTTACAGGCCTCCTCCCAAACTCTTTCATCTTTGTGATCCATCCTCCTTTTCTCACTGCCTCGGCAGCAACAGAAGAAAGGGAGACAACGCCCTTAGTAGAGGGTAGCCAGATCTCACAGGAGTGCAGGAGGAGAAATTGCAGAGAAACACTGCTTGGCCCCCAGTGCCTCAGTCGGAGAGTGTACTGGGTTGCTTTGCAAAAAAGCTGCACGTGGTGCCTGCACGGCATACAGCAGCTGAACGCAGGACGGACTCCGTCAGCACAGGCTGATCTTCGGAAAATTTGGCTGCCAAAAGCTAACAATTCTTAACAGATCACGTGCAAACTGAGATTTTATGGGGTCTTATAACTTTGTTACGTTTGGATGCACATCTGTGAAACCACAGCAATGGTGCTGCCAAATTCAAAGTTGTGGCTCAAAAGGTACATGGATGAAACTAGACCAGTGATGGTGTTCCATTTCAAATTCCTTCTGTAGAGAAATGGGGATACTGACGCTTCTGAATGAAGCAACTGAATTATTATTTTTTAATATGGGCAAAATATTTTTTTAACCTTGTTCTTGAAAATTACTACAGTGGTTTAGCTGGAAACTGCCAAAAATTAAACCTGGGGCAGATGCTTGGCTTGGAAAATACCAGCCTAAAGAGTTACAAGCAACTGAAAACAAGATGTTATTATGAAGCACTGGACAAGATTAAGCAGAGCAGTTCCACAACTTTGGCCTAAATGTGGAAGATTTTTAAGTGACCTGTAATGAATTTCTTAATAACAACTTTGTTGAAATAAGCAGAATTCAGTCAGATTTCGCATTTTTGGGTGAAGACATTTCCTCTCAAAATAAAGGTTATGATCCAGAGTGCTCTGATGTAAAGAGGGAGAGGAAGGAGTGTCCTGGGATTGAGACTGGGAGCACTGGGACTGAGGGCTGGAGCAGTTGCTTTGGCAACAAAACCAACCTGAAAGATCTACAGAAGTGCAGAAATAAAGGATCAAAAACTATTTACAGAGGCGAAACTTTATGGAGACAGCAGAGGGAAGGGTGGGGGGAAAGGAACTGCTTCTGGTGTGAGAACATAAAAGCAACAGAAAGGGAAGTCCAAATATTTTGTTAGTTCTGGGGTTCTTACATACCCTGGCTCCACTCCACATGTGCTGATGGATTAAACCCATGGAGTAAAGCAGGTACCCTCGTCCCCACACCCTTGTTAGGGCAGCTGGCCATCACCAGGCCCAGGGAAGGCATAATCTAACAGCTCCTCAAGGTGTTCCACATCTCCCGTAGTTGACTGTTTGCCTTCATACACCAAACTGAAAACTAGGGCAGTTTGGGAGCTGCTCTGTATGTTGAAACCTCCCTTTCATGGCACTGGGGATGTATGTCAGAGGGGCAGGTTGGACAGCTGAGGGTATTAACCTGTTTCAGTCTGATGACTTACACACTCTGCTGCATCTCTGTTAGAGGTTTCTAGAGTAGGTTCACAGCAATGGTTGCAGCAATTGCCACTGAATGCTATTTTGCATTTGAAATTGTCATTCCATTTCTCTGCTATGGATAAAAGTAAGGGAGTCATGAAGTCTTTTCTAATATACAATGATCAGCCTCTTAATTTGCAAGTACATAATTAACACTTCTAAATTCTTTTAGCAGATCTAATGGGTTGTCTGTCCCTTGACTGTATGTTTGCCTAAAAGGCATGTTCTAGCTTGAAAAGAAATTTCATTCAGGAAGTCCTGTGGCCTTTGTTTTGCAGGAAGTCAGATGAGGTGAAAATGGGGGTCCCTCTGGCCACTTCATCTCTATCAGTCTCTGTTTGTCTAGGATTTTAACAGCAAAATTACACTAATGCTGTAAACTCTCTGTGCAGTTAAAATATTCTGAAATATCTTGCATAGCCTACATTTGAAGAAGTTTCATTGGATTAATTATCATGACTATATAAATTATGGTCAAAATGGTGACCTGTGATAATACTGCATGGAGAACAGTATGAAATTAAAACTACTCTAATTTAAAAAAAAAAAAAAAATGTTGAAAAATCTTGCTAGGTGCTGTTGCTCAGCATACATGTTCTTTTGCTTTACTTAAAAGTATGTGTTTAACATGTTTAGATTTCTTTTCAGGTTTAATATTAAGCCTGAGTTGGCAGTGCTTAGTTCTGGGACCACTGCAACATTAACATAACGTACCTTACTCTTAATGGTCTTTTATGCTCGGCACCTTCTTCCATTTGATACAGTTTCACTTTTTTTTTAATTTTTTTTTTTAGCAGGAAAAATCAGGTTTAAGGATAGCAGAAAAACTGGCCTGCCAACATGATCTAATGAACCACAGAACAGTCTTGAAAGAGAAAAAGTAGCAGGAAGTTCTTTCATACCAGGTATTAAAAATAGACTGCACCAACTCCTGGAATGCACGCAGCAGTTATGTAACAATTTTTCAGTGACATGCATTAGGAAATATTCTCAGTAAATGTTTTTCCTTCCTAACACCCAGTTTACTTCTCTGAAATTTGAAAATTCTTCATATGGATGTTTCTAAGAAGTCTAAAATTATAATGTTCATTTGAATAACCTATCAATTAGCAAGCCACATAATGACACTGTCTAATGGTACAATTGAAGTATTTGAATTTAATATAACATTTTCATAATGGTACAATATAAAACACAGGATGGAATCCAATTTTTTTTTTCCCACAAGTTAGACTTGATTTATTTCTGACAATAACTTTGCACTGGAGGTACCAAAAGAGAGAAATCAGTTTGTGTGCATGTCTTAAATAATGAGAATACTAGCTATCTTGGAGCACTGAGAAGTCTTTCAAACATTTCAGAAAGATTTACTTGTTATTAGGTGCCTTTATAAATGGGAGGCATCTGTGGAGGACTGAAAAGAGCCAGAAGAGCTATAACTAGCTTCTAACTTATTGAGGAAACTAAATAGTAAATTATTTTGAAGAACATCTTCCTCAGTCTTTTCCTCAGAGATTGAGGAGCTTTCCCAGAGGTCTAGGCTCTGGATCTTCACAGTATAATTTGAGAAGGTAATAAAGGAGATGGAAAAGAATTAAGGTCTAACTTTTGGATTTTCACAGTCTTATTGTTTTCTTGGGTTACTTAATGTTCAGAACAAATCTGCAACATCCTCTGCCTATAGCAAGAGTATCATACAAGGAGGGCAACTATACTTTCTTGTCCGCCCAAAACCTTGTCTGCCTTTTCTAACTTGTCTATTGAAAGACACAAGCCCTGCCACAGCCTGTGGACTTCCATGGCCACCATGAATTTATTACTAACATTATTTTCAATTTATACTTCAAAGACAGCAAAATTCCCTAAAACCTACCTAACACACATTGTCAGTATTTCCTAGGTTGCCATGTTTCAAGATGTACCCAGAAGCACAATTATGGACAGTTTTCATCACCCACTCATGTCAGTGATGGAGAGTGATAGGAAATACTATGGTGGGTGAAATTCTGCCCATATTTTGGCTCCTACTAATAAGTTTTTCCCAATTCATGTAATGGAGATTAAATACCAGGAGATCCTAAATGGTCAGATATGACCATGGTAAAGCAACACGAGTCTTTTTGTAAGATGAGTAGAACTCCACTCTTAGTGTTGGATCTGGCTTTCCTGAGTTGTCTTTAAAATATTTTCAAAAGCTAAAAATGTTTTTTTGTGGAGCAAGTGAAGCTTCACACTGTTCTTTTTGAGAACACAGAAAAACATAATTGAGGTATAATCAGATAAAACATCTGATTTATCTTCTCTCCTTACTGTTCCACAGAATGACAGAATTTTAAAAAAATCCATATTTGAGGTGTGAAAAAACTGTACCACGTTCAAAATATTTCATTTTGGAAAGATACATAAATAATAAAAGCAGGAGAACAAATTAGCCTCTTGCAGGGAACCTGCTGGTTTGATAAAATATTAAGAAACATCTTAATTGGCAGTCTGCAAGAAAATGAAATAGGGCATACTGAATTTATGTCAAAAATCTGTATTAGAAGAAGGAAGTAAGCATCAGAATTGAGATAAAAGTCTTGCTTTTCAAAATGACAAACATTTTTTTAAGATCAAGGTATCTTTAAGGCCATAAAATGAAAGATTAACTGATTATCAGCAAATTCATTTGCTTCTCGATGCTGTTATACAAATATATTTCTGAGAATCTAGTGCCTAAAAAGTAATTTGTGAATAATTCAATACTTATTTTTCTACACTGCTACACATGCAAAGCTTGAGCTGTTTATGAAGGGAGGAACACTGTTTCATGCATAGTATTCAGCAGTGCTCTGAATTACAGGAAGATTCTCTCATCATTCAGCCCGATTAGTTTACATGAACTGAAGTAAATAACATTCTGTATTTTCTTGCATATTTGATTACTATTTTCATATAAGCAAAAATGCTTTAAATCAGACTTTGTTCATTTTAAGGAAAGGACATTTTAGAGCAAAGAGAGAATTACAGACTTGTTACACCATTTTTTTCTGTGAGCTATGCTTCACTCAGTCATTTGTGAATATTTCTGAGTTTTACTGGATATATTAACTTACTTTTCATATGAGATTTGCTGTTACTGAATGTGATATTCAAGATCAACATTGCAAATGTAGCTGTAAATGAAAGCTTCTGTTTTGGCTGAATTTAAAAGCTCAAGTCTTTTCTGTCCCTAAACAAACATGGGAAACCTTATTTCAATATTCAGAGCAAAAAATTTCCTTTTTTTCCCCCCCCAAAAAAAATTTGCTGTTATTTTTCTTGCAATTTTCCTTTTGTTCACGTACCTTTATTCTCTTCATTAAAGCTGCTGATGTGTCTAAATTAACAAGTCCTATTATTATATTCATCAATGGGGCAAATTTGAGATCACCTATGAAAACCAAGCAAAGGTCTGTCACACCACATTTTCATCCACTTTCCAGAAAGACAGAGATTATCCTGCAGCACTGAAGGCTATACTTTTGTGGTGGGAAGATATTCTGAATTTTACACTGTCTGCTGTCTGCGTACAGCAGAAGAATAGAAAATACCATCTGAACTTGGGACAATTAACAGGATGTCTTTAGAATATTTTTATTACATTAATCTTTTCTTTTGCTTGAGCCAGCATTCCCCCTTGAGAGGAAGAGAAATGATGCTGAGACAACTTACTATTGCATATTAATTGTATGGTCTATTTCCCAAGTATTTAATTTGGCCGCAGCAACCTGTTTAACTCAGATGAGTTGTCAGAAAGTGACATAAAAGAGACCAAGTTCTTTAGAGGTGGCCAGTAATTTTAAAGGGATGAAGGGAAATGGCTGGCATTACTGCTTTTGTGCAAGTAAAGCCTCTTTTAAGCGGGGTAAAGGAAAATCAAGTGATTTAGCCTCACCAAAATTCATGCTACTTGAGATCTTTTGGAAATGTTGATTGAAGAGGAACTGTAAGACTGGAACAGAAGACTGAGAAAAGAAGTCAGGTTTCATGTAGCAAAACCATATGAAACATATAGAAAAAAGCGTAACATTTTTTATTTAATCCTGAAATCTGGAATACAAGTTTGGGATAGGAACTGGTAAGGACGTACCTGCCCAAACCTGAGCCATCCACTTGCAAGGCAGCTGTCTCTGCCTGCATGAGAACAGGTAAATCCATTGCGAAAAGGCCAACACATTAGGTCCCTGTTGCTTCCAAGTCAGTGGGTCTGAATTTGATCTTTTACAGTGAGGTTTGGTTTTCCTTTTTTAGCTCTGGCATTCTAGGAAGTATTTCCATGTGTGTACCCCTTGTCTGAGTCCACTCTTGGTATGTGGGCCTCCATGATTAAGCAATCCTGGATCCTTAACCCACTGCCTCCAAATTTCCCAGCCTGCTGCTTTGGTTCTTCTCTCACAGCTGTATGGATTTCAGCTTTTCAAAGTCCAGTTTGATTCAGTCTGTCAACACAGGAACTATTCGACATAAATTTTATTCGACATAAATCTTTTTGGGACCACAAAGTTATAACTTCATAGTTAAATACATCATGATGTTTTTCCAGGAAAACTTAAAGGCAGTGGATAAATGGAGACATCTTAGGATTTGGCATTTTATCAGACTCTCAAGGAATCTCTCCCTGAGTAAACTCTGTTTCACTGGGAATATTTATTGTCCTTGTCATGAAAGAATTCTGCAGAATTCTGTAGAAGAAGGTGGCGTAACACCCCAAAGATGACTTCCACCAGTCCAATTACTACCCATAATAATGTATCCATCCTTCTTTCACAAAGCAGGCAGGTGTAAGCAAAGCCTTCAAATAGGGAATTACCCTTTGAGAATAGGACATAGACATTTTAGTTGTAGGGATTAGAAGACTAATAGATATGAATACAAATTTGGAATGGATAAAATACTTATCCCGGTGCATTTTGAAGATAATCAGTTCCTATTTTGTCCTAGAGATGGTTTATTTTCGGAGAATCACATTTCACAATTTTAGATACCAGAGAAATACTTTTCCCAGTTCAGGGATTCCTTTTACTGAACTGACCTTGAAGAAAAGATTTGTTTCGTTCTGTGCCTAGTCTCTTCCTTTCCTGCCCTCCCCTTACCTCTTTTGAGAAACCAATATCACCAGTGACATTCACTCTGCAGGCTCTCTGCTCCTGCCAGCTTGCCTGTGCTGCAGATGGTGGGCAGGAGTGAAGCTCCTCGCAGGGACTGGGCACAAACTGTTCTAAATGTTACTCAAAAATCCTAATCTGAATCTTGGTACCAGATAACCATTCATTTATTAAGAGGAAATACAGCAGACAACTAATGCTGTACTTTTTCTATTATTCAAACCTGCTGCTAACAATGAAGAAGATGATGTCATTCCCTGGATGTGACAAAGGACTAATATTATATGCAGTAAAAACAATGAGTCAACAGTTTCTATGCCCTTGAGGTCAAAGCATTCAACAGTTTTGAAAGTAGACTGTTCTTTTTGTGCACAGAGCTTGTAGTTGTATATTAATACAAAATGTGTAAAATCAAGATACAATTTAAAACCCCATATTTTTTTATTTTCAATGTTTCAAATGTTTCAAATGTTTCAATGTTTCAATGTTTCAAATGTCCAATTGAAATATCTTACAACATAAGCTGATGAAAATTTCACCCAGATATGTTAAGAATAATATTGCAAAACACTTTTTTTGGGTCAAAAATACATTATCTCTGTTATCATTTGCATGATCTTGAGAGGCGCTTTGCAATTCCCAGTAACGTCAGTAAGAACTCTGAATATTAATGCAGCAACTAAATAATATGAAATGTTCTGGAGATATTTTGTAATGGCCTGAAAGATAAGAAAGACCTTTAACATGGAAATGTGTTTTGAAAGACAATTGAAAGCAAGGACCCTAACAACCAAAGTTTCCCAGATTTTCTGGAATACACAAGGTATTGACCAAATCTGGACCATCGTTAACCACAGCTGCATCTAGCTCAGGCTACTGCAAGAAATGCCTGCTGCTGATACAGATCCTTTTCTTCAGTAAATCTGAGAGCATTATGGAGGATTATTATCCTCCTCATACAGACAGTGAAACTGAAGCACAGAGAAGTGACAGCTCAAGGTCATTTAAAAGTCAGGAGAGTTTGGAAAAGAACCCAGATTTCTCAATCCCTGTCCAGCACTCTGCCCACTGGGCTTCATTGCCTCGCTGAGTATCTGCTAGATATAGCTCCTTTTCAAAATTAGATGTAATTTAACAACTTTGAGAAGTTTTCAATTCATCATATTGTTGTCTATAACAATTTTATATTGTGGAAAAATAGCCTTGACTAATTAGATCAAGCTGCTGACACACAATCAAGTGCAAGGGAATCCCAGGCAGTTTCCATTCCTGTTGTCCTTGCAGACCAAATCCTGAGTCAGGAGACTAAACTGGGTTATAGCTAGATGGGCTTCTACGTAGGAAGAAATATAATTTTGCCTGCATTGATGCTAGCTGACAGTGTTTTGGATTAAAATGAATCGTCGTGTGGAATAAATAATATTCAGCATCCTGACAAGCAATTAAAATTAAACCTTAAACTCTGAATCCCAAGGAATTACTTCCGGTATGCTGTCAAAGTTTTCTCAGTTTATGCTGAGCACTTTACTGTGTTACCTAAAACGCCTGCAAATGGGTTCAGATATAACTTGTACAATAGATCCCCGGCCCGAATAATTACTTAGGCAAAATATAGAAGAGCACATCTAGCAGACCAGCTGGCCAGCATCCCAACAGCTTTATTAAAGAAGCAAATGCAAGAGGCATGGCTCAATCTGATCTTTAAACTCTGTGTTCTACTGCTTAAGAATCTCTTATCTTTTAGGGATTGAAACCAAATATTTAAACCCTAAAGATATCTCAGGTGTTTCAGAGTTATGTGATAGTGCTCAAGCAAGATGAGGAAGCTTCTGAGTCATCCAGCAGTCACAAGAGCTCCAGGGCTCTGCACGGTTCCTTTCAAGTGACAGAACTCACGGGGTCTTAATAACGAGGACTCACTGGAGCACTTCAATTGAAACATATATTTCCACTAAAAATTCAGTGACAAGCTGCTCTTATAAAGTCAAAATCAGGCAGATTTAAGACAAGGCAAAATGAAGAGATTAAAGAAATTTAACAGAATTTCCTCTTGATATCTCAAGCTAATTACCAATCATATGGCATGCACAGTTTGGCATTTTCATTTCCATTGGAATTAATCCTCCATAGTCACAATTAAAGAAGGACACAATGATTTTGATGTCATGTAAAAGAGTGATGAAAAGTATTTCCCATGTGAAACAGACAGACATTAGAATCTCTTTCTGAAGTTGTGAGATATTTTTGCAGGCAACATCTCTTATTGCTTAATGAAAGACAACATTTGAATGTACTGCAGAAAGATTCACATGCACCGCAGCAGTGTTAGGTATGCTGTATATGTTCCTTTCCTGTGATTCACACAAATATATTTAATTAAAGGTAAAGTTATTATTGGTATATTTAATAAGTAGACTTATAAAGAAAAAATAAACATATCCCAGTGTGTTCCAAGAAGGGATCTTTACCTGACCTTTGCTTTTAAAGACCTGATCCCAGTAACAAACTTTGAAAACTTGCATAACATTAGGTACTCTCAGTCCTATTGAAGCTGCTCCTTTGTTAAACAGTGTATTACAAGTTTAAACTAGGGTCAGAGATTCCTATTCAGGAAAATACCGAAGATTATGTTTAATATTAAACATAACATCATACTTACCAGTTCTACTGTTACTTTTCTCATGTATTATTACAGACAAGAATGTTTTGTAATATTAACCTCCCCACCCCCATTCAGCCTTTTGAGAGAATGTCATATGTTCTCCTCTAGTCATTCCATAAAGTTAAATCTTATTTTCTTTTCCCTGGTAATTTTCTATTGTTGCGAGGAACAAGATGGAAACTTTATACCAATTTTAATCTATCTTCCCTGATGAAACAAAGTAAGAAACAGGCATAGCCCACATAATATGTTAACTGTGGTTTGCCAGTTAGCGTTGTCCATGGAGAAGAGGTTGGCATACAAAATCCGATGGATATTCCCTCCTTCTTCTGGACAGATCCATATCCACTTCCAGAAGGGAACTTGGGAGATCCCTGATTTGATCAGTAATTTTCCTGAGTTCATACACAGGTCTGAAGCCTAAGCTATTAAAGAGAAATGGTGAGATTGGTTCTGAGAAGGGCCTCAACGTACTTTATATCCAGCTGCAGATCTGAGGATGAACCCAAATCCCATATCCTGGGAGCAGCAGCAGGAACAGATGCCTCTTTTCAAGTCAAGGTTGGAGCCAATCTGTTTCTGAATTGCAAGACAGGGTTGGGGATGTTGGATGGAGAACAGGCCTGTTCCCAAATCCTAATATTAGAAAATCAGGCACAGAGGGACTTCAGGTAAATGGCTATGGTGGGTAGGCTTTCTTATTGAGCTCAGGAGATAGGGCACGATTTTAGATGGGACATTTTTTTTTTCAGAATACATAATCTGTCCTATCAGTTAGGTGGAATTACTACCCACTCACAGCATTCTACATTGCTAGAATGGTATTACTCATTTTCCTTAACAGAAACCTAGTACTGTGGTTTTGGTGACACACTGAAAATTTATTTTGATCTTTCGTGTGTTTTCAGCTGGAAATATAGTCTCCTTCCTGATCTTAGACTAGAGTCCATACTGAAAAAATATTTTTAAAGTGATTAAGAATAAAAGTTTATGTGAATTTATTTGTAAATGCTGGTTATGGGCCTCCCATAACGAATCAGCTTTTTTCCTGAAAGTCTTTCTAAGTACTAATTAGGAAATTGTCTGTTTTCTCTTGCAAATGCCACATTATGTATGAGTTTTCTGACAAGAATAAAATACTGCTTTTTAAACAGGAGTGGATGTTATCACTTCAAATGTGCTTATATGTACTTCCTGTGCTTAGATACAGCCTAGCAATAACAATACCACAATTACCAGAACGTATAATCTATAATGTAGTCCTGTGTAAATCAACACATAACTGAACGAGTTGCACACATCCTGCAGGATACCACTGCCATTCTAAATTGTTTCCGGTTAACACTGTGCATCTGCAGGATGATTTCTGAGCCGAGCTCAGACTGACTAACTTAGACTACTGGAAGTTAACTCCTTCTAATATTTAATGGGTTCTATTTAGGGATTTAGGTATAGACATAGAGCTAAAGCCTGTTTTGTTCATGATTGCCTAAATGGGAAACCAGAAAACCAGACATAGAGGAAAAACAGTTTTGATGTTTTAAAAATATTGACGAAATTTCCAACAAGAAAGCAAAATCATTGCAAACATTGCAAGGGCAAATGTTCAGGATTTCTGTGGTTGTTAAATTACTGAAATAATGCATACCTGGATTTTACATACAGTGAAGACTTAAATGTATGGTCTCAGATGCTTTGCTATTCCCTTTAGAATGGAGCATCACTTCTCTATGTAAAATATCTGGAAAATATACATTTTTTAAAGTAATTTTATTAAGTCAAAGAAAATATAAAAGTCCAAACTAAACCAGAAAAAGTCATTTTAGTTGCAGCACACATTGCACCCATACACTCAGAATAATTTTACAGGAATAATCTGACCAAACGTCACCACTGTGATTCAGTTAGTCCAAACTAACTAACTGGACTGACTGACTCCAAAATTAAATCTAGTTGACCTGTTAAGGGATTCTGAACTTTTAGTTAGTTCTCTGATTCTGACTTTTCCAAACGGATGTTAAAACTAATACAAAGTTTTAAAATACTGTAAACCACTTTATAATTTAAAAATACAATTTTAAAAAATTAATTAATTTATTTTTTTTTTTAAAGAGGTGGCAGTTGTGGTATTTGATAACTTTTAGAGGTAGTCTCAATGAGCCTCTAACTCTCATTCTGCTTTATAGCTGGGGAACCATCTCTCCTGGGTATATAAAATTTCCACTGAGTCTCTTAAAAGCCACCAGAATTTTAGTATGTTTTAAAATAATATTATAGCAACTTAGAGAAAATATATTATGAGAAATGTGTTATTTTTCTCTTTCTGATACAGGTTTACCATACCAAAAAGAGATTCTAGCAGGAAGCGACAATCAGTGCAGTGCTTGCTTGAAAGGTATTTTAAATTATCCCTTTTTCTTGCTGCTTTCGGTACAAAATAATGTGATGAATAAATGACTCAAACTTAATTTATCCATTGCAGAAGATCATAGAGAATATTTATTGTGTTAGCATGCACACCTGCATTGCAGAGGTCATTGAGGGGAGCAGGGTAGGGGTGCCAGAAGCAACCATGGCCACATGGCCAAAGGTAGCTGGAGGACTGAACACACACGTGCTGCGAGGAATGACCAAGCCCCTCTGCACTTCAGCTCTACTGTGACATGCAAGTCTGCTATAAAACAGTGTAGGCATTCAGATACAGAAAAATAACTTTTCCCTGTAAGTTTTATTGTCTTTTCTGTACTGGGTGGCCAATTAATATACTCATTTTACATTCCTTGTTACTGCCTTTTACTTTCTCTAGTCTGATCTTGTGTAGAAAGATGCTGTACTAAAATTTGACCACCTGTACTAAAATGCAGTTTGGGATGGCTGCCTTTTCAACCACGATTGAAGAAAAAAGACTACTACTAAATTTTACCTGTATATACTAATCCAGTTGCTCTCATATCGCGTCCCTCTGTAAGCACTTCATACCCCTTTGGAACTGTACATTATCATGACACAGTAATGGACAGCCTGGCTATCCCCAGATGTAGAAAAAACTGAAAATTAGGCTACAATAGCTGACTTAATGGAAGCTGAGGATGAACTATTTTACTTGTCCGGATTCAGGCTGACTCCTGTGGTACTGCTGAAGGGATCTAAACATGCATCTCCTCATGCTTTCCATGAGAAGATGCATCTGTGGGGCATGGTGTTTGCACTGGTAACCCTGCTACGACATACACAATTCTGCTGGGCTTAGTCTCTATGGATCCAGGTCTTCATTCTTCATCAGCCCATCTACTTAACCCTGAGCTGTCTCTTAATTTTTGTACATGATTTTGGACTGTCACAGATGTGTGAGTGCAGCAGACAAACCCAGCTCTGCTTACACAAGTGATTGAAAAAACAAAGCTTGGAAAACTGTGCTGCCATTAGAAATGCTGATGATATTATGCTTATAAAATAATTATTAATTCTTTCATGATGCAGATACTTCAGTCAGTTATAAAAAGCAGGTAGAATTATCAAATTATATTTGTCTTATTTATTGCTAACTTTTTAGCTGTGGCACCACCTTGTGGACACTGCTGCATGGAATGAAAATCATACAATCATTTAGGTTGGAAAGGACCTTAAAGATCATCAAGTTCCACTGTTAACCTAGCACTGCCAAAAAGGTTGACTAGTGGCAACAAAAGCAACTAAAACAGAGCAGGCATTCTGGAAAAACAACTACATTCACACATGATTTGCTAAAGCAGAGTAAAATAACTAAATTAAAAGCCTGACTCCTAAAAATCCACTTATGAAATAAAATGTATAATAAACATTGTTATCAGTGTACTCAGTTGTCTTTGAAGTTTTTACCAACTCTTCTGCGCATTAGCCAAGAAAAGTGGTAGCCTTCAAAACTATCTTTGTTCCATCTTGATTGATTAACTAGCAGCATCTGAATCCCAGTTCTGTTGTTGCTGTGCAAACAGACATGACTTGTGCAAGCATCCCAAGCAACAAGACTTACAAATCAGAACCATAATACTGAACACATGGAGAAAACCTCAGGTCATACTCCATAAATGCAAATGCAACAGTGAGATTAGCATCCAAGCTAAACCACAAGAAAAATAATCTCTGACAGAGATGAACTGGTGGATCTTTTAAATGCTTGCTGAAAAACAAAACAATAAACAAATTTAAATTCCACTCTGTTAGACATTGGATTCCCAGAACAACCTTTCACAGCTGCGATAACAGGGTGTTACTGTTATGAGTATTCTATCTGCTACACGGGCAAATCAGCAAAGCACAGAGGAGCCAGAGTTTTAAACAGAAGGAGATCTCCAAGTTGTGTGCAGCACATACCCATCCTGCGTGCACACATCTGAGCAAGCTTGGAAAGCATAGCATTAAACATTGAATTGTATGTTCTATTTCCATCTCTTCAGAAAGTAACTGCATACAACTTGCTATTGACAATAGCATCAAGTGAAGGAGGAGGAGAAGATGAAGACTTGAACCGAGTTCCTCCCTCCTGGATTGCCAACGGGCTGTGCTGAGCTCTGTCTGGGGATCTCACATGCATAAACCCTGGTTGGGTTGAACAGCTTCTCTGTCTCTGGCATAGTATCGGGGCACAGACCTCTCATTTCACGTCTCTTCTTCAGATATGGACCTCTGCAGCCCAAACGCTGCAGGCCCTTCAACTAATTAAGACCATACCACAGTTTCTCCCCAAACTCTCCTTAGTAGTATATGAGGGTTCACCCACCTACTAGAGCATTTCTATTTCTAGCTTAACTCTTAGACAAATAAGTAACTATTAAAGAAAGGCATGGAAACTCTGCAGTCTTCAGCTGAGAAAACTTCTTTTAAGTAGTTCAGTTGATTTTTTTTTTTCTTTGTTAGACAGTATCTCTTTTTAAATGAAGTTGGCACAAGATTCCTTCTGGATTTTTGTGTATTCACAAACTCTTCCCAATTAGTGATAGGAATAACCAGTAAATCAAGTTTTCAGCTGGCAGTCTCAGAGGCTGCTCCACAACTGCCCACTGTCCTCATGCTGTTTCTAACTGAAATGGCGTGTTACAGCAAACATAAGAGTTCATGAAATTAATAAATACAAGTAGTTAACAAACTTTTATGGGGATGCTTGCTTGACGTGTAAGGTAACTCTTAGAAGAAGTGGTCTAGCATTTGAAAAAAAACCAAACCACTCTGGGAAGAAACCAATCACAGAAAATCTGACTGGCTAAAATTATATACTAAGCACTGTCAGCCAGGGAAACAAACTCATCTCCAATGGTGTTTGCAGATCTTACCCAGGAGCAGTGGCTTACTGGGTTTTGATGAGATGTTACTCACATGGATTCCACAACCCACATCCTTCTCTATTCTTGCAGTTAAGTATCTTTAGTAAAGGAGGTAAATAATCATTGCTGCCACCCACTGCTGCGTAGTCTTGGAAGAAGAGGGATGAGGAGTATAGCACGGCCTCTGAAGACTCTGTTAGCCAAAAATAATCCAATATACAGGTATTGCACCAAGAAAGAAACCTAGATTACAAGGAAATCCAAAGTAAAATTTACTCTTTGTTAAATAAAGACTTTTTATAATAATGTTAATTGTTGGAGAAGTTACCACCTGAAAGATAAAGAATGGAGTAGATTACAGGAATGGAGTTAAAATAGCTAAAGCACCCTCTGAGGTAGTACATTTCATAATAATGTCACCCCGAAAGAGATTATCAGGAAAGAGCAGAATATACAACAATATAGGTCTTTAGAAAGTTAGTTTATTAAAATGTCCTGTAGTGCAATTAAATATATTGTTTGGTATAAAGTCTGTATTAGAAAACACTGGAAAACCACCTTTAGCTAGCATAGCTAAACACACAGAGAGATGGTTGGGCCAAAATAACTTTAGAATTAATGTAAGAAAGTTTGAGCAGAAAATAACAATGCGCTTTTTCAAGGAAGCACTTCCATTAATGACATAAAACTATATAATGCCATACCTGTTTGCATTCCTGGGCCATCTGAAACAGAATGGTCTGAACACAGTGGATGCTGTTACAAACAACAAAGTTATTTTCACATTGAGCTTTTAAACTTTCTTGTTTATGTAGATATTTTGAACCGTTTATCCTTCATTCTAGAAGAGACACTACTCCTGTTGGAACTGCTGTCCTTGCTTTGGGAACAGCAGTATTGTACCTGTTTTATGAAAGAACATAGAATAAAATGTCATTTTTTTTCCTTTTAATATCTCATAAAATTAAAATATCTTTTAAAACGTGACAATGACAATACAATTTTTACAGTATAGATCTTTTCAGAATTGTTTCTTAGAAACTCCATTTTATTTTGTTTATTCTTCAATAAACAAAATTTTGTTTCTTTTTCTTCATCTCAAAAAGATGAAGCAATTTATATTAGTAAAATTGTTTTCCTTTGGTATCTTCATACAGTAAATATTACAGTTGTTTTACTTTTTGTGCTCGTAATTCCCTAGCATAAGTGTACTGTTTGGGAAAAATATAGGGCTTCTAAATTCTTAGTAATTATTCCTAGAGATTGACTACTAAAATAATTTTCAATTTAACTTAATTATTTGTTTCTGAAAAAATAAGGCATTTGCTACCTCTTACTCATACTGAGGACAGAGATTCTCCTCAGGTACCACCAATGTAATTCTGTTCCCCACTGCAATCAGTTGCACTAGTGCAGCCTTATTAACAGCCCTGGATGTATCTGGATGAAAGTTTTCATCCAGAAAATTGCAGCAGCAGTTACCATAAACCTGGGGTGAGTGACACAGAAGAGACTGTGCCAAGTCTATTCTTATCTTGAACTCAGTTTATAAAAATACCTTACTTCTCATCTTCCTGAGCAGGTGAAAATGTTATTTTTTATCCATCACATTCAGTTGATTTGCTTTTAGAAAGAAGCTAATAAGCTGTGTGGTAAAAATAACCTTGTATTTCCATAATGGTATTTTCTCCAGAGACCTAGAACTCCCTTGAATGTTTTAATTATCTCTTTCCTGAAAGTCAACTGGCACTATATTAAAATATTTTCTTCGGGTTTCTGCAAGAACTGATTTCTTGCTGAATTAGCATATCAACCGCAAAACCAATTTCCACAGCATTGGTGACCTTATGTCACTTTACATATTACAGAAGCTAGACAGAAATGGTTTCAGAGGGCTGTAACGGTTTAAAATTATTCATTATAAATCCAACTTACTAAACTGATACATGCAGGAGACAAGCCTCTGAAATTATGGTGCTAATCTGTAATGGTTTAAAGTCAGATTTCTGCATTTTTAAATGCCGTACCCAGCGACACAGTACCGCAGTGGGGATTAACAGAAAATGGGATGGAACAGGCAGAAATCTGGTCAGGCTGGACAAAATCCTGGGAGGGAGAGAGAGTAAGAAGGCAGACAGCATCCCTGGGGTAAGACTGCGAGGTACACAGCCCTTGCATCAGGGAACAAAGCGGGTTCCTACCACAGGGAGAAGCGGAGACGGGCACCAAGCCCTAGACATGAAAGTTTCAGGGGATCCTTCAACAAGAGAATAATAATATTGAGGTGACATTCAGAAAGTTTGCAGAAAGGAACAGATAAACTCAGCCTCCTCTAGTCCAAATACAGAACCTATCTGGTCTATAGAAAACCAAAGTTAACAACTCCAGCTATCAAAAGACAAGGCAATATTAATAAGTTATTTAATACCTTTTTTCAGCTAATGAAGGTTGCATAAGCCTCTATGCTTATTAGACATTAATTTTCTGTATTACTGAAAAATGGGTGACTTGGAGCTATGCCAGGCCTTGGTAGATATATTAGGCTATAAATTTATAAAAGGAAAACAGTAGAAGTAGGAACTGCTGCTAGAGGTGTCAATTTAAAGTTATACTCTCCCCACCAAAAAACCCATCCTACACAGAGACTACTACAATCAAAGGGGACAATCTGTAATAGCATTAAGGCCGGGAAAAGTGGTACCAGAAGATGGCAATTTAGGACTAAGTGTACTTGACCTTCATATGTTATTTATGTCTGAAGATGTAATTTTGTGGTTTCGGGACTGGTTTATCCATAGCAAAATCTGTTGTCTTCTAATAACTATCACAGGTGTTATTTATACACTTATGTCTTGGTCTGCCAGACCCAATGTGACTCCATATGTTGGTAATAAAGAAACAGGTTATTTGCTTACTGTTTCATTTGCTGATGTATAAAAATTAAAAAAAAAAATAAAAAAAATTAAATGCTTTATATTTATATCCTAATTTCTTGTGCAATGCTCCTCATTTTCTTGTTTTCCAGAGTGCTTTCACTTTTTCTTAGAAGCAATATGAAAGACAAAGAGTTTTCAAAAGAATGATGATCCAGAAATTCTCAACACTGCAAGATAGTTCCTTGGCATTTTCATGATGAAAAACCACAGGTAAATCTTCCTATCACTATTCATCTGATCTAAAAAAATATATTATTTTTGCCTTTCCACATAAATCTTCTATCAAAATATGGAAGTAGTTTTTGAGTTTTGTCTTTGTTCTTATTCTGAAGGTGCTGTAAGAACAGTTACAAACTAAGTGCCATAGAATATGCAATGTAATTATGGTTTGATTTTACCTTGCTCAAATTTTGATATTCTCAACTCCTTCAGACACAGTATGTGCCTATTACTGAAGTAATATGTCAAAATACATTACAGTTTGTTAATATCAGTAAGGAAAGAAAGCATGTAACAAACCAACAGGTTCTGCACCATAAAGCACCAAATGTTCATTTCTAGAGTCAAGTATATGGTAAGATTTTCCAGAGCAAGATTAAACTAAAATAGGTATTAAGATAGAGAGAGGTTTTTACCATCTGCAGTCCAGCTGAAGTGAGAGATCTTTATGGGCATTCAGTGTCATTGATAGTAAGACCCAAGTCATTTTTATATTTGTATTTTTAAGTCAAATGTCACGCTTATGAGACAATCAAAATACTTAGTAGCTCCCATTATGGCTTTTCTGGGCCTCAGCCATCTGGATGTATTTCTATGATTACAGCCTTTGCTTTCTGTAGGATTCCTACACAGTCAAGTTCCAGCTAAAATGCTGACAAGACATAAGCAAACTGCTTCAAATATTCACAGCATCACTGAGTTTGGAAGCATCTCTGGCGATCACCCAGTCCAACCCCCAGCTCAAAGCAGAATCACCCAGAGCATGCTGCTCAGCAGCTTGCCCAGTTGGATTTTCAGTATCTTCAAGGATGCCAACTCCACAACCTCTTTGGGCAACCATATGACACATGCTCCAGTCTTCATGGCCCTTTCCTGCCCTTGCTCCAGTATATCCAAGTCCTTCCTGTTGTGGGGAGCCCAGACTGGGCACAGTACTCCCACTGAAGGTTCACCTGTGCTGAGTAAAGAACAACCATCTCCTTAGATCTCTTGGCAATGCTTTTCCTAATGCAGCCCAGGATGCTGCTGGCCCTCTTTTCCAATCTATGTTTACAGATATAATGGAATTTTAAGGACACGATTGGTTTTATATTTCCAGGGCCTGCTATATATCAGAGAAGTACAGATTATATTATTCTGCTAATACATGTTTTATGTCAGTATCAGGGATTATATTTATGCTCTTGTTGCATGCTTTTTGTAAATAACTGGCTCATTATAAACAGTTGTTTGGGATGACTTATACAGCCTTGTAAAAACATCTGTGCATAGATTTCTAAAGGTAACAATGAAAACCTCTACCAGTGCAAATCTGGGTATCTTCGCAGGAATGAAGGCATCTTGGAAAACTGCAATTCTAAAGAATAGGAATTCTCTATTTCATCATATTGTTAGTGTTTAGATCTGAAGGCAGCAGATTAATCACCATTATGTTTGACTCACAGATAACTTTTTGTAGCAGTAACATCCAGCTCATAAACTTCCAGTTTCCAAAATCACCCCATATTGTTTCAGAATCCAAAAATCCAGTTCTCCCTCATGTATTCCTGAGAACCTTCCACTTCCTCTGCAGCTGCCACAGTGCAACTGTGGACAACACATTTCTGTACTGACAACACACAAATTTTCTGTGGAGAAAGGCTTTTAGACTTTCCAGTGGGTCCTCAGGCAGCCTAAAGCAATGAGATGTTCTATCAGATTTGTTTGTCTTGGCAAGAAAGAGAGCAACCTTGTTCTTGAAAAATCTACATTTAGTTCCTCATCTATAAACAATTTTCATCAGTTCTTCCATCTGCAGTCTATGTCTTTGTTTGGCAAACAATTTGCAGTGTTTCTTGTTACACATGTCAAATTGTTTCTGTTCTGCATGAGCTATGATGACTTAAAGCACTGAAGTTTCATGTGGTGGAAGGAGTTTGTTCCCTCTGAATGCAGTGGTACCCTTAACGCCCTGGGTTGGTCCATGATTTCCTTGCAGTTCTCATAGTCTGTGACTGCAGAAAATAGGAACAAATAGGCAAAGCAAAACTCCTTGCCATTAGTTTCATACTGGTACATAAGCCAATATGCAGTCTAGCTAATGTCCTTTTACCTTCTGGAATAGTTTAAAGCAGGATGCAAAATATTCTTCCAAAAATACACAAAATCCTTTATATCCTTTTTCCTATAAAGCTATGCCAAAAGCCCTGGGAAAGTATTTTGACTCTTCAGCTAACATGCTCAAAAGAAAACTGGGAGACTGGCAAAAGAACGCAATATAATTACAATGATGCTGGGATTCAGAGTAACATTATGAAAAGCAAACACCTTTCATACCACTCCCAGCTCTCACATATCTGTGCTGAATTGAGATTAAAATTCAGATGCTAGGAAGCAGAGCAGCTATTCCCAAAACAACACTAGATTGGCCCAGGTGGCCACAACCTGCACGATTTTTCATAGACTGACTTTCAAAGTGCCTCATAACTGCCTCTCGGTCTCAGAGATGTTGAATATCTTTCTCAGCTTTTTCCAATGCAGACCAGATGTTGTATTGTGATAATTCTCTCACGGGCCTTTTCCATTTTGACTCTCCATCAGCTAGGGATCCAAAGAGACATTACTTGAAAAACAGGAACCATAAAAGAGCCAGGAACATATAAATTAAAACATAAGCATTAATTTGTTTTCCAAGATACAGATGTCTTCTGTCAGTTCAAGCCTTGATCTCTCCAACAGTTAAAGGCAACAGTTGTTCTGTGGAGGCATGCACTGGAAATTAGCCAACGGGCATTAACTTTTGGTTCTGATTGAACTGGGGAAAATGTGAAACAGAAACACAGAGTTAAAAGTTGTGACAGTAACTAATGGCTGGTGCCATTTTAAAATGTTCACAACATCAATACCAGAAAAAGTGTCTTACCATAGGAACTGTAGAATTATTGAACATTTTGGACAAGGTTCAGAAGAGTTTCAAGTTGTCTTTGGTGATGGCAGGGGCCTTTCCTTCTCCTTACCTTGCTGATGTGTTTATTCACGGGGACCAGGATCCGTCTCTGGGGAAGTGAATCCTACAGTGGTGACTAATAAAAGTGGCAGTGGGGTTATGGCAATGTGGCACCACCACACCTCCAGAGGAAGGGACAGGGCTACATGAGGAAGAGACACAAGGCAGAGACAGTACAGGTGAAAAGTAGTGGAACAGGCTGATACCACAGACATGAAAATGTAAGTAATGAACTGTATACCTCAAATACTTTAAATATTCTGGCAAAATACTACAGTAACATCAATATTGTTCTTTAATAGTTTCTGCAGCACTGTATCCTTGCAGAAGTTAATGGCCAAGACAAAACACTGTTTGGTCAATAAAACATGAACTTTGGTATGAAGGATCGGCTCTGGTGAATTTATAAGGAGGTAGAGCAAAAGCTTTCCTACTAGTCATTAAAAAGTAGAATCCACTTGAAGCATAAGCTACCTCGCCACAAAAATCAAACATAAAGTACTATGCTAAAATTAAATACCAAAGTTCAAATTCAAATGTAATTATGGAGACAAAGATTTAAGAGAAGACTCTCATTTCTTATGAACACGTGCTCAGAGTTCAACTGCATGTATTTAATTTTGTAGTAACGTAACACATCAAGCCTTGTTTTCAAATGGCCATTGAAAATCTTTCATTTAAAATGTTAAATCACTCGATATCAGTATTATTACATCTCTTAACTTTTTTAATCAGTAAAAATTTAATAGGCAAGGATTTAAAATAGTAGAAAGGCTAGAGACAACCAAAGAAAACATTTACAAAAATGCGCATAATAGATAAGGATGAAGATTACTTTTTTAATGTGACCTACATGTGCACTAATTTTTTATCTTTAAAAAATAGAAATTCACAAGTTACACCTCTTCATTCCTTTTCAAATCAGTTTTATACACCTACACAACTCTTCTGCCAGTGGATTACTGCAAGTTTACACTTAAACTTTGAGATTCCAGTCCTGCTGTATTTTCTTGGTACAATCTATTAGTACAAGAGATTCACATTGCTCTGCAACTTTTAGCAATTAACCCTCCATTTATGATACACTTCAACTGAACATTTTATTGTACCTATTAGCTGGGGAATGTATAACATTACTCTTCAGTGTCCTGATGTCATCAGTTTCCTTCCTTCTCATATGGGCATATACAAGCAACTATAATTTCTAATAAAATCTTATATATATAAAAAAAAATCACTGATTGTCCTTGTCTTATACTCCTCCAGATCTGCTTTCATGAACACTGGCTTTATCCAGATCATTCTGCTCAGAATAAGGAAATAGTCTGTCCTTACACATCCTGTTTAACATCTTTGTTGGTGACACGGACAGTGGGATCGAGGCACCCTCAGCAAGTTCACCGACCACACCGAGCTGTGTGATGCGATCGACAGGCAGGAGGGAAGGGATGGCATCCAGGGGGACCTGGACAGGCTGGAGAGGTGGGCCCGGGCAAACCTCATGGAGTTCAACAAGGCCAAGGGCAAGGTCCTGCCCATGGGTCGGGGCAATCCCAAGCACAAATACAGGCTGGGCGAGGAGTGGGTTGAGAGCAGCCCTGAGGAGAGGGACTTGGGGGTATTAGGGGATGGAAAACTGACTATGAGCCAGCAATGTGCACTCACAGCCCAGAAAGCCAACCGTGTGCTGGGCTGCACCCAGAGCAGTGTGGGCAGCAGGGCGAGGGAGGGGATTCTCCCCCTCTGCTCCACTCTCATGAGACCCCCCTGCAGTGCTGGGTCCAGCTCTGGGGGCACCAACAGCAGAAGGACACGGACCTGCTCCAGTGGGGCCAGAGGAGGCCACGAAGATGCTCAGGGGGCTGGAGCAGCTCCCCTGTGAGGACAGGCTGAGAGAGATGGGGGGGTTCAGCTGGAGAAGAGAAGGCTCCGGGGAGATCTTACAGCATCCTTCAGTACTTAAAGAGGCTACAGGAAAGA